TTTTTCTGCACTATCACTGAGTGTTCACATATCATCAATCTACACAGTATAACATGAAGCACAGCAATAAGCTATTATCAGAAAGAACAGTCAATGTATTTGAAGTTACAGAGAGAATTAGGATATTGGATAAAGGAAAAAAAAACATACTTCAAGCATTTTCCTGATATAAGTTTCAGCTTTTCTTGCAGCAAAAGACTGTGGTATTTACAAAGTAATTTACATGAGCATTTTTTTTTTTTTAACACCGAGGCAGCGTGACCCAAAAAAGAAAGAAAAAGCTTTCATCATTCAACGCTTTCACCATCACTCATACATAATCACTGTCTTTGCAGAGGCACATTTAAAGTGCCCTAGAGCAATAAAATGCCTATACGGTACACTCATTACTTACCTTAAAATATTTTTAGTCTTAATGTTGGGTGAGAGGTGAATAAACGATATAAAAATGAATGACAGAGAGAGAGAGAGAGAGAGAGAATGAGTAAATGAGAGAGGAAAGTTGCAGAGGATGTAAACAAACAGATGGCATCTGGCTTTCGTTGATACACGCTCATCTACACCTAACATCTCATATTGATGTTAATTTATTCTACTGTGGGGTGTATTTATCAAGTTTATATGTTACACTGCATGTTTATCATATAATTCTGAAAAAATATCATAGATGGATTAATGAAAATGTTTATATTAGTGTAATATACAACATTTAATGTGCCTTAGAGTGATTTTTATTGTGTATTATTATTATCATTATTAATATGGCATTCTCAAGACTAATAAGACACTCTTAGTGATTTTAATGTGTACCTGCTTGCCAGCACAGTTTGTAAGTTCATTTAGCTACATGTACACATAAGTATTATTAACTGAAGGAAGGCGGGGTAGGGGTCGGCCTAGGAAAGGTTGGAGGGAGGGGGTAAAGGAGGTTTTGTGTGCGAGGGGCTTGGACTTCCAGCAGGCATGCGTGAGCGTGTTTGATAGGAGTGAATGGAGACAAATGGTTTTTAATACTTGACGTGCTGTTGGAGTGTGAGCAAAGTAACATTTATGAAGGGGTTCAGGGAAACCGGCAGGCCGGACTTGAGTCCTGGAGATGGGAAGTACAGTGCCTGCACTCTGAAGGAGGGGTGTTCATGTTGCAGTTTAAAAACTGTAGTGTAAAGCACCCTTCTGGCAAGACAGTGATGGAGTGAATGATGGTGAAAGTTTTTCTTTTTTGGGCCACCCTGCCTTGGTGGGAATCAGCCAGTGTGATAATAAAAAAAAAAAAAAATAAATAAATATGAAACATGAAATAACTTTAAAACACTTAAAATTTTGGAAAGCTTCCAGACATAATGGAGAGAAGCGGTGCTCATGGAGCTCACAGAGAATGTAAACAAACCAGGTGGGGTGCGGTGACCGTATTAGAAAGTCAGGTGGAGGGGGCCGTATAGCGAGTTTTGGTCATAATTTGAAATCTCCATATTAGCGGAACGCTGTAAAGCGGGGCTCTACTGTACATAACCTAACAAACTACTTTCATTACATGCTATATCATTTTTTTTTTTTTTTTTCAACAAGTTGGTCGTCTCCCACCGAGGCAGGGTGACCCAAAAAAAGAAAGAAAATCCCCAAAAAGAAAATACTTTCATCATCATTCAACACTTTCACCACACTCGCACATTATCACTGTTTTTGCAGAGGTGCTCAGAATACAACAGTCCAGAAGCATACACATATAAAGATACACAACATATCCCTCCAAACTGCCAATATCCCAAACCCCTCCTTTAAAGTGTAGGCATTGTACTTCCCAATTCCAGGACTCAAGTCCGACTATATGAAAATAACCGGTTTCCCTGAATCCCTTCACTAAATATTACCCTGCTCACACTCCAACAGATCGTCAGGTCCCAAGTACCATTCGTCTCCATTCACTCCTATTTAACACGCTCATGCACGCTTGCTGGAAGTCCAAGCCCCTCGCCCACAAAACCTCCTTTACCCCCTCTTTCCAACCCTTTCGAGGACGACCCCTACCCCTCTTTCCTTCCCCTATAGATTTATATGCTTTCCATGTCATTCTACTTTGATCCATTCTCTCTAAATGACCAAACCACCTCAACAACCCCTCTTCTGCCCTCTGACTAATGCTTTTATTAACTCCACACCTTCTCCTAATTTCCACACTCCGAATTTTCTGCATAATATTTACACCACACATTGCCCTTAGACAGGACATCTCCACTGCCTCCAACCGTCTCCTCGCTGCTGCATTACCACCCAAGCTTCTCATCCATATAAGAGTGTTGGTACTACTATACTTTCATACATTCCCTTCTTTGCCTCCATAGATAACGTTTTTTGACTCCACATATACCTCAACGCACCAATCACCTTTTTTCCCTCATCAATTCTATGATTAACCTCATCCTTCATAAATCCATCCGCCGACACGTCAACTCTCAAGTATCTGAAAACATTCACTTCTTCCATACTCCTCCTCCCCAATTTGATATCCAATTTTTCTTTATCTAAATCATTTGATACCCTCATCACCTTACTCTTTTCTATGTTCACTTTCAACTTTCTACCTTTACACACATTCTCAAACTCATCCACTAACCTTTGCAATTTTTCTTTAGAATCTCCCATAAGCACAGTATCATCAGCAAAAAGTAACTGTGTCAATTCCCATTTTGAATTTGATTCCCCATAATTTAATCCTACCCCTCTCCCGAACACCCTAGCATTTACTTCTTTTACAACCCCATCTATAAATATATTAAACAACCATGGTGACATGCTATATCATACCTTGTATTATATACTGTTAATTATTGAGTTCTATCTGCAGATCATCACATGATTTCTCATTAATCAGAGACATGCCAGTGAAATCCTTATTTTTTTGTGTGTGCAATCCGAGTGGCAAGTATTGTGATCCCCAAATAAATGAGGTGCAATTGTAATAATACTATTTTTTTATTAATACATCAGCCATTTACCACTGAGGCAGGGTGACCCAAAAAAGAAGAAACACTTTCATCAGCATTCACTCCATCAATGTCGTGCCAGAGGTCTGTCTACAGTAGTTAAAAAACTGCAACATATCAACACCCCTCCTTCATAAATGTTTCTTTGCTCACACTCCAACAACATGTCAAGTCAGAAAACCACTCATCTCCACTTGCTCCTATCTAACATACTCACCCACGCTTGCTGGAAGTCTAAGACCCTTGTACACAAAACCTCCTTTAACCCCTCCTTCTAACCTTTCCTAGGATGACCCCTAACCCAGATTTCTTCTGCTACACATTTATATGCCCTCCAAATCATTCTATTTTGTTCCATCCTCTCTAAATGTCTGATTCACCTCAACAACCCTTCCTCTGCCCTCTCGATAATACCTTAAGAAATCCAGCACCTCCTCCTAATCTCCAAGCTACGGATTCCCTGCATTACATTCACACTGCACATTGCCCTTGGACATATCTCCGCTGCCTAAAGACTTCTTGTTGCAATATTCAACACCCATGCTTCACACCCATATAAGAGTGTTGGTACCACTGTACTCTCATACATTCCCTCTTTTCTTCCATGTAGAGCATTCTTTATCTCCACAGACTCCTCAGTGCTCCATTCACCTTTTTCTCTTCATCAATTTTATGATTCACCTCATCTTTCACAGACTCATCTGCTGACAAGTCCACTCCCAAATACCTGAATACATTTACTTCCTCCATACTCACTCCCTCCCTCCCTCCAATCTGATATCCAGTCTTTCATTACTTAAATTATTTGTTATCCTCATCACCTTGCTCTTTCCTATGTTCATTTTTAATTTTCTTCTTTTACATACCTTTCACCAGCCTCTGCAACTTATCTTCAGAATCTCCCAAAAGCAATGTCATCAGCAAAAAGCAACTGTGACAACTCCCATTAATGAACCATAATTTTTTTTTTTTTTTTTATTATCACACCGGCCGATTCCCACCAAGGCAGGGTGGCCCGAAAAAGAAAAACTTTCACCATCATTCACTCCATCACTGTCTTGCCAGAAGGGTGCTTTACACTACAGTTTTTAAACTGCAACATTAACACCCCTCCTTCAGAGTGCAGGCACTGTACTTCCCATCTCCAGAACTCAAGTCCGGCCTGCCGGTTTCCCTGAATCCCTTCATAAATGTTACTTTGCTCACACTCCAACAGCACGTCAAGTATTAAAAACCATTTGTCTCCATTCACTCCTATCAAACACGCTCACGCATGCCTGCTGGAAGTCCAAGCCCCTCGCACACAAACCTCCTTTACCCCCTCCCTCCAACCCTTCCTAGGCCGACCCCTACCCCGCCTTCCTTCCACTACAGACTGATACACTCTTGAAGTCATTCTGTTTCGCTCCATTCTCTCTACATGTCCGAACCACCTCAACAACCCTTCCTCAGCCCTCTGGACAACAGTTTTGGTAATCCCGCACCTCCTCCTAACTTCCAAACTACTAATTCTCTGCATTATATTCACACCACACATTGCCCTCAGACATGACATCTCCACTGCCTCCAGCCTTCTCCTCGCTGCAACATTCATCACCCACGCTTCACACCCATATAAGAGCGTTGGTAAAACTATACTCTCATACATTCCCCTCTTTGCCTCCAAGGACAAAGTTCTTTGTCTCCACAGACTCCTAAGTGCACCACTCACTCTTTTTCCCTCATCAATTCTATGATTCACCTCATCTTTCATAGACCCATCCGCTGACACGTCCACTCCCAAATATCTGAATACGTTCACCTCCTCCATACTCTCTCCCTCCAATCTGATATTCAATCTTTCATCACCTAATCTTTTTGTTATCCTCATAACCTTACTCTTTCCTGTATTCACCTTTAATTTTCTTCTTTTGCACACCCTACCAAATTCATCCACCAATCTCTGCAACTTCTCTTCAGAATCTCCCAAGAGCACAGTGTCATCAGCAAATATTACCACAAACTAATGATGCTGCTCACCTGGTTGGGTTTTAGAGCAACCCAGTTCAGTGTCGGTAACTTATATTTTGTATTGACTTTCTTTTTTATAGTCATGGAGTCGGGTGGAGCAGCTACATTCATTCCTGGCGCTGGAGGTGGTGGTCGTAATGCATTGTTCATTCCCATTGGTAATTTTGGGGGTGCAGGTGGTGTGCCACATCCAATAGGTGGTGGTGGTGGCGGAGGAGCAAAGGAAGTAGCAACACCTGGAGGTGGTGGTGGTGGTGGTGGAGGAGCAGGAGCCATAAATCCTGTGCCTGATCTTTCTGCACCACCTGTTGCAGAGATACTATATTAAACTATGATGTTCACTATCAAGTGCTTCATGCACAAAGCAAGTGGTTTACGAAGACATTTCTGTAACAGGATTTTCATTTTAACCCTTCCCTCTGAGTGATATATTAATTCAACACCCCTGCTTGCACTGTAGCACATTTCATATATTATATATCACACAACTTTATAAAAGTTCTTTAAATTTTATGTAAAAAATATTTATGTAGAAGTTAATTTCATTACAAAATGGTTCATGTGTCATTCATTCTACACCCAGCTAACATTTGTATCACTTTGAGGAGAACTTCTTATAAGTTACTTACCTGATTTGTCTGGATTTGATCTGGCCAAATTTTCCAGCTCTAAGATTTGTTTTTCTAACATGGATTGCCTTTGCCGTGACTCTTCACTTTTTTGATTGACTTCTCGTCGAAGTGTCGACACTTCTTCTTGAACCTTGAAAATATATAAAAATATGATTCTACTGACTGGAACCTGTAATTGTATTAGTTTCTGGTTTTCTCTTATGTTTATTTTTCTTTAAATTCAAAGATCCCTAAATTAAATGTACACAATATTCAATAGTTACAGATAATTGCAAACTTAATATAAAAACCACCAGCTTTATAAAGATTCATAGTATTTTGTATCAGAAATAACTTTGCAATGATATGCCACATACCTGACAATGAATATTTTCCAATTCTTCCTTTTGTCTTCGCATTTCAACCAACTCGCCTTCTAACTCTACTAACTTAGCTAAAGATTCTGCTTCCATTTCTGACATTCTTTCTGCCATCTGAAGTTGGTAAAATAATTATAATAAGTATGAAATATTAATCTTGACATTCTATAAGCTCAAATTTGGAACAACTTTCAATTTTTTTACCCCTTCTGAAAAAAATTATGTATGATTAAAGAACTTTTAATAATATGTACACAAATTCTTTTCACATCAAGAACATTTTACAAATTAAAAATAGTGCACACCCCTTTCAAAAGAAATTATTTATACATCTTAATTCCTGGTTGACTTAGATGCTGGATACTTACATCATTACATCCTCTTGCAAGTACATATATATTTTAAACAGTAGTAGTCTAAAAGACAATGAAAAAATCAACACATCTATCAAGTTACGAAGAGCCTCAAGCACATTACACAATCCCTTCTGAACCACTTATCTCCAGATTCCTCAACTCACTTATAAATTTCTGTATTTTTACTCTTCTACAGCATTCACTATTTCTTTAAATTTTAAGCCCCTCCAAATATTTTTTGTCAATCAATCAAAATTGTAATTATATACTCTACAGTTATTTAGCTATCCATGTCAAACAAACATTTTTTTTTTTTAACATGATGGTTGTCTCTCACTGAGGCAGGGTGACCCAAAAAAAAGAAAGAAACATTTTCATCATCATTCAACACTTTCACCATCACTCACACATAATTGCTGTCTTGGCAGAGGCATTCAGATATGACAGTTCAGATATCACTCCAATCAGCCAATATCAAACAAACATCTCCCATTTAAATAAGATACCAGATATTTTGAGCAGGAATCCAGACATCTTATTAATAAAATAAGATACAAATTCTTTTGAACAAGTATCCTACATATGCTTGTAACAAAATAAAAATCTTCAAGTAAACCCAGATGTACTCGAGTTAATCTACTGAGGACATACTCTTGAGTTACCTCTCACAGAATGGATATAGGGTGTAAATAAACTAGTTATTTTATCAACAAAACCAAAATTTAAATCTTGAAATTAACTAAGACATACATGCGCTAACTCATCTTCCAATTCAGCCACCCTTTCTAATGCTGCCGTTTTAGTTTCGCTGTCCTCCATGAGTGCTGCAACATCAAACACGTTGTCAAGATAGGCAGAAATCTGAATCTGAAAAAATAATAATTACATGTACAATAATGAATATATAAATAAACATTTGAAATAAAAATTGGAAAGACAGTTGAACAATATGCAAAAGACCACAGTCAAGAAAACCATCTTCACTGACAAATTAATTAAAAAATTATGAATGGCATATATCAACTTTGAATAGATCTAAAGACACACAATTCAGTTAAGAAAAGTGCATGAGAAATTAAGACTAAATATATTAAAAATGCCTTAGAGGGGCATACCTTCACAAAGAACCAAGAAAATATATAAAAAGAAAAGAATTTTTAGGCCAATCAAGAGAGCAGGTCACAACTGTTAAGAAACAAAAGGTGCCCAAATGATGCTTGAAAGTACTTCACAAACAAAGTGATATGTTGGAATACAATCAAAGCGGAGGTAGAATGTGTTACAACCAACAGGAACTTTAAACTTGTACAAAAATCTATATCATGAAAATGGGACAAAACCAGTAGTCTATGAGGTTAGAAGGTTTATACCTGTTAAAGGTTCCAGGATCCCTACCCAAATGGTTTAGCATTAGAACAGACCACCTAAACTGAAAAGGAAATACATACTGTATTACAGGAATAAAGCTATTAACCCTTTCCATGTCCCTTATTTTTATTTATTAACACATTGGCCGATTCCCACCAAGGTAGGGTGGCCCAAAAAAGAAAAATTTTCACCATCATTCACTCCATCACTGTCTTGCCAGAGGGGTGCTTTACACTACAGTTACAAAACTGCAACATTAACACACCTCTTTCAGAGTGTAGACACTGTATTTCCCATCTCCAGGACTCAAGTCCGGCCTGCTAGTTTCCCTGAATCCCTTCATGAATGTTACTTTGCTCACACTCCCATAGCACGTCAAGTATTAAAAACCATTTCTCTCCATTCACTCCTATCAAATACGCTCATACACGCTTGCTGGAAGTCCAAGCCCCTCGCATACAAAACCCCCTTTACCCCCTCCCTCCAACCTTTCCTAGGACGACCCCTACCCCACCTTCCCACCACTACAGATTTATACACTCTCGAAATCATTCTGCTTTGTTGCATTCTCTCTACATGTCCGAACCACCTCAACAACCCCTCCTCTGCCCTCTGGATAATAGTTTTGGTAATCCCACACCTTCTCCTAATTTCTGAACTACGAATTCTCTGCATTACTTTCACACCACACATTGCCATCAGACATGACATCTCCACTGCCTCCAGCCTTCTCCTCATTGCAACATTCATCACCCATGCTTCACTCCCATACAAGAGGGTTGGTACAACTACAGTCTCATTCATTCCCCTTTTTGCTTCCACGGACAAAGTTCTTTGTCTCCACAGACTCCTAAGTGCACCACTCACCCTTTTCCCCTCATCAATTCTGTGATTTACCTTATCCTTCATAGATCCATCTGCTGACACATCCACTCCTGAATATCTGAATACATTCACCTCCTCCATACTCTCTCCCTCCAATCTGATTTCCAGTCTTTCGTCACCTAATATTTTTGTTATCCTCATAACCTTACTCTTTCCTATATTCACTTTTAATTTCTTCTTTTACATACCCTACCAAATTCATCTACCAACCTCTGCAACTTCTCTTCAGAATCTCCCAAAAGCACCGTGTCATCAGCAAAAAGCAATTGTGACAACTCAACTCAACACTCAACACGCCTTTGTTTACATCAGAACAGCTGTGTTTTTCCCGCTAATGGTGAGTATGGGAGATTCCTCTCCAATTTTCTGTAGTAATTACACGTTATCTAGACTTGTACTGTGACAAATTAACTGAAGTGTTGTTGATAGACATTGATGTGTATGGATAAATGTTTGTTTTCGCCTCTAAATGTTAAGGGAGGTACCTGATAGGGTTACTTGACCAGTAAAGACGCATGGACCATAAAGACGCATTTTTGGTAAAAATACTATAAAGAAAAACCTAAAAAACGCAAACTGACTTCCGTTTGTAGGTTTTAAAAGCACTTGTCCTGTCTTTAAGTCTTTATCATTTCAATAACAGATCTCAATTGATTGATGTTCTACATCACTTCCGTCGCAAATGCTTAGTTTTCAAGTTGCGACGGAAGTGATGTAGAACATCAATTAATTTACTACATATTTCCCCAGAAACACATAGCCACATCAGAAAATCGTTGGTTGGGTGAAACTGAAAATTGTCCCTGCATTCTTTAATTCTCATGTCCTTATCTATGGTGGTAGGCCATATATCATGCAAAATATAATGATTAGTTTAGTTATGAAAATGGTAATATAAATACCATTGTGCATTGTTCTTGGACTCAGTATGATTTCTGTTTAAGTAAATTGGAGATCAAGGAGGATGAATTAGTAAAACATTCGTAGCCCAAATCACTAACCTAATCTATGGTAAAAGTTCTGTATATGACTCCTTTCTGGTAACGTTTTGAATTTTTAGATGCGCAGCCAGAGGAAAGGGGGCTACAAGGGCCATATCCCCCAATTGACAGAAAAAAAAAAATTTAATAATAATTAAAAAATTAATAATAATTGATAATGAAAAATTTGTATTTGCATGATTACAGACAGTGATACATCCTCATTATGGCATCTCGTGAACGTGATGTTGGACGTTCTTATGCGAGTGGGTCACAGAAAAGAAAGAAAATTCAAGAAGAAGAACAGAAAAAGAAAGATGTAGGAAGCTGCAGAAAGATCACAGACATGCTCACGAAAACAGTTTCTGATGTTACCAGTACAGTTGAATCTGCAGATACGTCAGATCATACAGGAAGCCCTCCCTCCATTATTCTCAGCCAGCATCTACTTCTTTTGTGTCTCCTCTCAATGTCTCAACGGACATTTCATCCACAGGATTTGTCTTAAAAGATCCTGCCTCATGGCCAAATGTAATCCCAGATTCTCTACATAATGCTTTCATTGCAGAAAACTTCAGTCAAACTCTGAACATTGACTTTAGGAAATCAGCAAGGATTTATGATGATGGAAGTTGTCGTTGTTTAAAGTCATCTATGTTTTATAGGAAGCTTGCAAATTCAGAAACTGTGAAAAGATCATGGATGGTATACTCTGAAAGCTCAGGAAAAGTGTACTGTTCAGCATGCAAGCTATTTTCTATCAAAGAAAATACCTTCACACAGGGGTTCAATGACTGGAAAAATTACAAGCGTTTCGAAGAACACGAAAACAGCACCACTCACAGAAGCTGTATTTTAGCCAGTGTATTTCGTGCACAGAAAAAAGGGTTATTGGATTCTCATTTGGAAAATCAAACTGAAAAAGAGCGCACTTATTGGAGAAAAGTTCTAGAAAGAGTTGTTGCTGTTGTAAAATTCTTAGCTCTAAGAGGACTTGCTTTCCATGGAGAAAATGAGGTTTTTGGTTCGGAAAACAATGGCAATTTCCTAGGGATCATAGAACTGTTAGCACAATTCGATCCATTCTAGCAAATCATGTGTCACGCCTTGGAATGCAGGAAGAGGCACTGTATCTTACATGTCATCTACTATATGCAATTAATTTATTGAACTGATGACTAAGAAGGTCCTCAATAACATCATAGCAGCTGTAAAAACTGCAAAATACTTAGCAATAAGTGTAGATTCAACACCAGATATTTCACATACAGATCAATTGACATTCATTGTTCGCTTTGTCGACTCCAGTGGTAAGCCTGTAGAGCGCTTTATAAAATTCATTTCCTCTTTCAGGCCATGATGGAGAAACAATGATGAATGTAGTACTGGATACTCTGCTTGAACATGATCTCTCTATTATGGATTGCCGTGGCCAGAGCTACGACAATGCAAGTAACATGTCAGGTAAATATAATGGATTGCAAGCCTGTATCAAGCAAATCAACCCGCTTTGCTGAATATGTGCCCTGCTCAGCACATTCTCTTAATCTTGTTGGGTCATGTGCTGCGGAGTGTTGTGTCGCTGCAGTTTCATTTTTTGGACTTTTACAAGCACTCTTTAATTTTTTCTCTGCTTCAACGCATCGGTGGAGTATACTCAAGTCAACCATTCATGGAGATGTCATCAAATCATTATCAACAACAAGGTGTCAGCGCAGCATGATGCAACACATGCTTTGAAAGACAGCTTTGCTGAATACGTTCTGCTTTGATCCAAATAGCAGAGGATGAAGACCAGACAGCAACTACAAGAAGCGAAGCAGCCAGCTTAGCATCAAAATTGGAAGATTTTGAATTGGCCTTACTCTGTGTGCTTTGGGACTGTATACTGAACGGTTAAATGCCACGAACAAGACACTTCAGAAAATTGAAATTGAAATGGCTACTTGTGCTAACCTCTATGCAGGCTTAGTGGAATTTGTAAGCTCACTTCGCAATGATGAAGCTTTTGAAATGTTTGAAGAAAAGCTAAACTGCTGATGAAAGACTACAGTTACCGGCTGATCATCAGCGGTCAAGGAAGAGGAAACGCAATTTTGAAGAGCCAGACAATGAAATTGTGTTGCTACCAAGGCAGAAATGTAAGACAGCTACATACTTCGTCATTCTGGATTCACTGATTACAGAATTGGTGAAAAGAAAAAAAATCTACCAGAATCTCAATGACAAGTTGGATTTCTGTTCAAAATTACTACTATCCAGATGCAGAATTGAGAGAAGCTGCATTAAAGTTGCAACAACACCTTTCAGCAGATGTTCAGGACACATTTGTTGAAGAAATATTTCATTTTTCTGGGTATATGAATCAGATTAAAGCTCCACCTGAAAAATGTGTGCCCTCAGCTGCTTTGAAACATTTAAGAAATGCAGGTATCTCAGAAACCTTCCCTAATGTTGACATAGTGTATCGCCTTTACCTAACACTTCCAGCTACTAACTGTGAAGGAGAACATTCATTTTCTGTTTTGAAAAGAGTGGAAAACCAGCTCCGTTCAACAATGAGCCAAGACAAATTGTGTAACCTAGCCTTGTTGACCACTGAGTCTGATCTAACAAGAAATATTGATTTTCAGAATATAATTGATGATTTTGCCAATATGAAATCCAGAAAAAAGTTTATTTAAGAAGTGCCTGTGAATATAAACAATTCTTTACTTTCTTGAGTTTATATGATTTGATAGTCTTATGCATGATGCAATGTTAACAATAATGGTCAGTGATTTATAAAGGGAATAATAGTGATGTAGTGGTTATGCTGAATATAATAGGTACATGATGTCACTACTTTAATAGCCTAATCTAGTAATACTATGCTGTCTTGAGTTTATTCTCTTTAAAATGCATTAACAAGATAGTTATAATGGCTGTTGATAAATGGTTTTGGTTGTCTTGATGTACTTTCCCTATTAAATTTAATCTAAATAGCCAGAATGTATTTAATTAGACCTTAAACAGGCTCACACCGACCCTACCCTCAAGCTGGAAGGGGTCGCTTCGCTTACCCGTAACTCAAAGGGGCCCCGCCAATCTGAATAGCCTAGGGCCAGGAGACTTCTTAATCCGGCCCTGTACACACCCCCTACCTTTCCTAAATCCTGGTTATATTTAATTAATCTGAGAAATAGGGTAAATCTTCAATTTTTCAAGTGATGATGAATTCAAAATAAAAAGCAAGGCAAATGCAATATAGGAGAGGTCTGGGGATGTGATTAATGAACAGAGGAAATATTTTTTTAGTGCTTGAATGTTTATAGTGTTTATTTTGGCCTTGGCTTTTAAACTGGCTAAATTACAAAATTTTGTGCACTGTATAGGGTAGTTTTGAACAGGTGGTTTTTTGCACTCAATCGATAGAACACAAGACATACTAGTGAAATAGCTAAGAATGTGGTCGATTTGAGCAATGGAACTGGCTTAAAATAGGACTCAAAGTGGGCAAAATCGATGATGCATAAATTGCTCCCAGACCATTACTTTTGCATTACCATAATTCCATGAATTTTCCATCAAATTTTGTACTTTTGGTGTTATTACTTTCAAAAAAAGATTCTCTACCTTTTAGAAGAATTTGTTATTTTTTAAATATGAACACTGAAAGCAATTTTAATTTCCGGGGTCTGGACAGTAAGTAAAGCAGATACTGCACTGTAGATAATTAAAGTAGATACTGAACGTAAGTAAAATTTTTGACACTTATCTGCCATCTTAGATGTTCATGAGATCAAAAGAGATGACCAATAATCCTGCCAAATTGCAAAACATTTAACATTCTACAGTTCAACACTAGTATGAGGGACAGTAATATAGTTGACAATTGATGAAACACTTGGCAACACTTGGGAATCTATTATGGAAACATTTCACCAGCCAGTGGCTTCTTCAATCTGATACAGAGAAAAATGAACTGAAGAAGCCACTGGTTGGCAAAACATTTTCAGAATAAAGATTCCCAAATGTTACCCAAGTGTCTCAATTATCAACTCTTCAGTTTTCTAAACCATTTATACAAACAGTAGTATACAACCAATCTGGATGCTTATCTGCTAACCTACTACTCATTAAACAAATAGTCAACCAAATTCATCACAACACATGAAAGAAATAAATGAGCGAAGGCAATGCACTATCATTACATGATCAAACTATTTACTAGAAAAGAAAAAATCCTCAGTATAAATTACCTGAACTCACTTAATATAAGTGATCCTGTTCTATTGGAAGAAGAAAAAAGAAAATCAGGAAAAAGAGTCAACTAGATTGCAAGAAATTAATGTAAAATTGACCTAAGTCAGTATTTCAGAAATACAAAATAGAATACAGGTTGGCCACCACTAATCCGGTACGATCGGAACCTGTAGGGTGCCAGATTAGTGATTTTACCGGATGACAGAATGGTTAGGTTAGAATACACTTAACCCAAAGGCAATACTTATACAGCGGCGATTTCACGCACTTTAAGCCCTATTATTGGCCCATTCCATTGTTCCAGTCTACCAAACTCATAGCTATTTCACTAGTATTCCTTCTATTCAGTTAAATGAATACAAGAAAATGCCCATTTACATATTTGATCAGAAATTGGTAATTTGGTCAATTTCACACAAATTTCAAAAGATGCCAATTTCAAAATAGGGTCCAGAATAAACAATGCAGACATTCCTGCACTAAAATAACATTTTCTCTGTTCATCAGTCACATCTCCAGGGCCCTCTTATATTAAGCTTGCTTTCCATTTTGAATTTTTATTCACACAAAAAATAGGTTTACTTTTATGCAGACTACTGCATTATTGTAATAATCACATATTAGACTAGCTAGTTGGACACGTATTGGATGGTGATGTCATCTGCTTACTCTTGAACACTGGCGAAAATCAAACATTTCCACTAGACTGAGCTCAATTTCAAGGTACTTTCTGTCAAGAAACCAATCAAAATCATATCTATTTCTGTAATATATCTTCCATTCTATCAAATGAGACCAAAAAAACGAGAATACAACCATAAAAAAACCATATGAAAATACACCACAAAGTCGGTTTTACACTTTAAACACGGTCACAGTTTTTTTTCTCATTATGCACTGCGTGCTGCAGGATTTTTTTTTTATATAGTGCACACTTACCACACAGACCTACTCTCTCATATGTAGGCCCAAATTTACCAGTCACAGCTTATCTGAGTGAGCTGAGTTCATGGCAACCGATAGTGGCTTCAAAGCCACCTTATATTTTATGGACAATGTATGGTGTATGTGCTTTACACAACAAGAAGCATTTCTTTTATTTGTTGGAAGCATAACTAGGGCTAAAAGTGAGCAGGTTATAACAATAAATAGAAAAAAAGAAACTGGAATGACTTATGCATCAAGTAGCACCACCAAACAGTAGCGGCAGGTTGGTGTGGCGGCCCCAGAAATTTGAAATTATGCTATCTGAAATTAGTGCCAGATTACTGATGGAATTGGATTACTTATTGCCGGATTAGTGATGGCCGACCTATAATGTATTACAACAGACCATATACCTATAAACAGAATTTTCTCCAACAGGAATTTGGAAATGGAATCAAAAAAGTTTATTCCAAAAATGAGAGAAGTTCAAAAAATATTAAATACATATACAGTATATGAAAAAAAAATAATTTCATAAAAATTAATATCAAAATACTATCCAAAAATAGAAAGACAACTTTCCCATTTTTGCATGATAACTTTATATAAAATATATACATAAAGAATATATATTTTTTTAATTATTATCGTTAATCTAATCAAATTTTACTTAAACCTTAAAGCTAAGGCTCAACACTGCCTGTATCATTACTTTAATAATGAGGCCTAAAATTATGCTCTAGAAGCAAACAATGAACACAGTTCACATTAGATATACAAAATATGAATCACCTTTTGAGAACATTAAAATATTTATGATTAATATACCTGCAATTCTTCACTTTCATGATGTCTCAGCTTCTCTAAAAAGTCATCTATACCAAGTTGAGTGAACTCATATTGGAGATGAACACGGAAATTCATGTCCTCCACGCTGTGAACTACTATGTTGATGAACTGCATACATGCTACCTGTTGCAGAGAACAAAACAGAAGTTATAACAACTAGAAATATTAAGGACACAATAAACAAACAAGGTTAACCCACATTTTGGAAGGAAACATTAGATAAGGTTTAGGTCCATCTCAAGGTCATTATCAATTTATAACTGATAATGTTGCAGTTGACATGTTGCATCTGATGTTGCAATTGATATGCTGTAGCTTTTTAATTGTAGTGTAGGCAAACTTCTGGCAAGACAGTGATGAAGAGAATGATACTGAAAGTGTTTCTTCTTTTTTGGGTTACCCTGCCTTAGTGGGAAACGGCCTATATGTTAATAAAAAAAAAGTGTCTGTGATGACAAAGATGTTCTCTAACATTACCATTCCTAATTCTGCTCTGGGTTAGTTACCATTAATTGTTCCAGAAGTGAGCCCTCTCTAGATGGGGGGAAAGCTGACACAAAAATAAAATAACATCAGGTAGGGTCAAGGACCGACAAGGTTATTCACCTTATGACATTATTCCACCTCTAAATTGGCAAGACAGAGCTGAATACTTTGCTGCCATGATGCAAGTTCCTGATTCAGCAAGAAAAACTCCTTTGCTAGCCATGAGAACTGTGTCAAAATTGTCAGAGGTGACAATAAGGTAGGATGAGGTGTATCTTCTCCTTAAATCCCTAGATCAAGAAAAGGCTGTGGGCCTAGACAAAGTGAGTCCAAGATTGCTGAATAGATATGCAAACCAGCTAGCATCACCTCTAATTTCACATCTATCAGCACTGCCTAGTACAGTGTAAATAGCCTACTCTGCAGAAAGAAGCAAATGCAGTCCCTGTTCACAATAAGAAGAGCTGAGAGAAAAATAGCAACTGCAGACCAATGTCAATCCTGTCCATCACTGGCAAGTTTCTTGGGACAATAATCTCAAGGCAGATAACAGCAATTTTCAACCGTCAATATGACTTCAATAAAGGTCACTTTTCTGCTGATCTGCTGTTGAACCTCTCCATTGTGTCATATCAGTCACTGGATGAATCCAAGATAAGCTGTGTAATAGCTGTGTAATGCCAAGTATGGCATGAGGGACTCTTGGCAAAACTGCAAGCCCTACGAGTCGCTAGCTCTGCACTATGCCTCCTTAGTAATTACCTTCAAGGTAGAGATCTAAAAGTAGTTCTCAATGAACCAGAGTCAACAAGACTTTGCCCAGTGAGAACACTTTGCAGTGTTTCAGAGGGAAGAGTACTTGGGCCATTGTTATGGAATGTCTACTTCAATGACCTTCTTCAACTCATCCCAGAATCACATACATATGCAGCCAACTGTACTTTGACATTTACTTATCCAAGGAGGAAGTGCCAGCTGTTCTCAACTACATCAATCACCAGCTTACAGCTATATCAGCCTAGAAAAAACAATGGCAGATTATATTTGCTTCTGAGAAAACATAAATGATGATGGTCTCTAGGCACCATGATGGTAATGCTGAGCAGTGGTTAGAATATGAGTGTTGAAACCCAGGACGAGGCTGATATCCTCGAGGTGAAATCTGATTCCAAATTATGAAGAATCACATAGTAAATCTTGCAAACAAGGCAGCTAGGAAGCTTAGAGTATTTAAGCATATCTCATATCTCCTCAACAGTGTCTGATATTATGACTATGAGTTCCATTGCAGCTATCAAGAAACAGTTTCAGAGCAGGACTGGTACTAGAATTGACTGTCCTATATATGTAGTATGCACCTTGAGTATACTCCAGTTTCTTGGATTGCTTGGCTCCCATCTCATGACTTCTTGACAGAATAGAGTACAGAGCAAGATGACTCGTCTCTCGTCTGGACTCTGCCTGAACAGATATGTCATTTCAGTAGAGCCTTCAATACCAGAGGGATGTGGGTGGCCTGTGGCCTTACTGTTGTGTATAAGGTCAGCAAGAAGAGAGCTTCTACACAAGATGAGCAGGCAGTGAACAACTACACTCTGGTTGTACCCTTCTCAAGGACATCACTTCATCTGAGATCATTCATTCTTAAAATGACCCGAGTCTGGAACATGTATGCACAGCATGATGACACTAATGAAATAAAGTCAGTTGATCAAATGAAATCACTGGCCCACAGATGGCTCCAATTTCATCCTATTCCTTATTTGTAAGTCTCATACCAATAAAAAAGGCTTTCAAATGAGCTAAGGTTTTTTTGTAAATAAAGGCAGGACCACTTAACCAAACCCTGTAAAACCCTTATGTAAATAAAAGGGAAGAGAGAGGAGAAAGAAAAGGAAAAAGAAAAAGAGAGAGCTAGCTAGCTCCCTACCCCACCTCTTAACTTTCATTTGATTAACAATAAATAGCCCTATTATGTACAGTGGAACCCCGGTTTTCATCCTTAATCCGTTCCAGAAGGTTGGTCGAAATCTGAAATGGACGAAAACCAAAGTAATATTTCCCATAAGAAATAATGTAAATCCAATTAATCCATTCCAGACACCCAGAAATATTAACAAAAAATACAATTTATAGAGACTAACTATAGATTTACATACAGAAAACAATGAGAAATAAAGATAAATAACTAATTTTAATGGATAAATGAACATTTAACCCTCTAACTGTCCAAACATAGATCTACGTTTGTGCACGTAGCACTCCACACTTGATTTTCTCCATATGAAAGAATGTAAAAAAAACATAGATCTACGTTCGGAGAGCTATGCGAGCAAATGTAGATCTACGTTTGGACAGTTTAAGGGTTAAATCACTTTTTACCTTCATTGAAGAGACTTACTGGCATATGGGGAGGGGAGAGGGAGGAGAGGTTATTGTTTGGAAAGGGAATCCCCCTCCATAAGGACTCCAGGTATCAAAGCCCTATCTGGGGTTACTTCTCTTCTTTGTCTTTTACTGGCACTAGGACCAGCTTGAGAGCCACTGGACCATGCAGACACGGCTTGCAGCAGCTTTGTTAGGGTGATATTTCTCCACCAACCCTTCCACATCCTAGCTACACAATATTTAATGCGGCTGAGAGCCATATTATTACTATCGACATAACATGTTCACTGAGTTTAATCGTTTCTAACAACTACCTTTAGATGCCATTATAAACAAAGGGAGAGGTAATGAATAATTCATGCAGAAAACTGTAAACAAAAGCATTATGTATTAAGGGTGGTGACTGGGCCAACGCATATTCATACACGTTTTCTCTGATGCTGGACCAGAGAAAATGTAATGTTTTCCCCTTGCCTGGCTAGCACACCTTCATAGCACATAAAGACTGCATGTTTATACACTATGTAACATGTTTCTTATATAATTTTGAAGAAAATATCATAGATAGATTAATGAAAATGTCTATTAATCTAAAATAAGACATTCATTGTGCCCAAGAGTGATTATTATTATATATTAGTATCATGAACATATGAGTAGCCCAGGCAGACACATCTGGTACAGATGATTTCCGAGTGGATGTACGAAACTGAGGGTAAAAATTCGCCGAAAAAAGTGGTCGAAATCCAAATTGTATGATATTTGGACCAGACGAAAACCAGGGTTCCACTGTACATCTATTTATCAATCCTAGTATGGTGTATGCTTCCAATAAATATCTGTTACTTTGTTACTTTAGTTTCTTTACAGTTATAAAAATACACATATGTTAAGTGGCATCACGTGGCTCATCAATGTGAATAATTTCCAACCATGCCTTCTTATTCTTGGGATCCTCTCCAAGATACGTTACTACGTGCCACTATCTGCCCTTCTCACACTATACCATTCACTCATTTATCCCTACCTCACCTATGCTATTTGTGCTTGGGGATCAACTGTAGCAACACACCTCAAGTCAATAATAACCTAACAAAAAGCTGCAGTAAGAGTAATCACTCAATCCAATCCCAGGCAACACATGCCCCCACTCTTCATAGATCTAAACTTACTCACTGTTCAGAACATCCACACTTACTACTGTGCAACCTACATTTACAGAACCTTAAATTCCAACATTAACCCTGACCTAAAACACTTTCTTGATAGTTGTGACAGGACTCGGAGGCATAACACCAGACACAAACATCTCTATGACATTCCCCATGTCCGGTTAAACCTATACAAAAATTCAATGTACATAAAAGGGCCTAAAATCTGGAACACCCTACCTGAAAACTCTAGAACTGCAGACACATTCATCACTTTCAAAACTACCACTAGAAAACATTTTATCTCCCTGACACACTCCACCATCAGTTAACTACATGAAAACTGCCGATTCTCTTGTATCATACACACACAAAAAACAACCTAGATCTCCCCTCGATATCTGTGATTCCCCACAATTCGCACCTACACTCACCCAATTGACTATAAACATAGAAATACGTAATACAACTATTACCTAACGAACCTTAACTAGTCATAAGTTACCTGTGATACTCCAATATAGGAACTAAAATAGAAACTATGTATTGTACCAAAACAAAACCATTCACACTGCTAACTTTAAGAACTGTAATGTAGTTACTTAGCCTTAATACCAACATGCTCCTTAATCTGTACCAACAGAGTTTTGAATTAATCTTAGTCTACCTGAAATGCCTAGCCATGCAAGGTGTGATAGTGACCCTCTCTGTAATTAGTTTTATATAATATGTAAACCACGCAATATCCTATAATATGTAAACCCCACATTGTAATCTTATTTCATTTTTTTTTTTTTTTTATTAACACATTGGCCGATTCCCACTAAGGCAGGGTAGCAGAAAAAAGAAAAACGTTCATCATTATTCACTCCATCTCTGTCTTGCCAGTGGGGTGCTTTACACTACAGTTATAAAACTGCAACATTAACACCCCTCCTTCAGAGAATAAACTTGATTTGATTTGATTTGTTGCATTCCCAAGAAAAAACAATCACTGGGTACCCTGTCTATGCCTTAGATAATTTTTCATGTTGTGATCATTTTTTTTTTTCAACATGTCAGTTGTCTCCCAATAAGGTAGGGTAACCCCTCTCCCCCCCCCCCAAAAAAAAAACACTTTCACCATCATTCACACAATCCCTGTCTTTGCAGAGGCACTCATATACGACAGGTGCAGGCATTGTACTTCACACCTCCAGGGCTCAAGTCCAGCTAACCGGTTCCTCCAAATCCCTTCAAAATATATTATCTTGCTCACACTCCAACAGCTTGTCAGGTCCCAAAAACCCTTCGTCTCCATTCACTCTTTTCTAACACACTCACACATGCTTGCTGCATGTCCAAGCCCCTTGCACACAAAAATCTCTATTACCCTCTTCCCTCCAGCCTTTCCTAGGATGACCCCTACACCTCTTCCCCTCATATTCCCTTTTCATTTCAATCTTCCAGTGAAAGAAGGCTTATCTCTACTTCTTTCAACAAACCAGCCATATCCCACCGAAGCAGGGTAGCCCAAAGAGAAAAGCAAAAGTTTCTCTTTTTAACTTTAGTAATGTACACAGGAATAGGGGTTACTAGTCTCTTGCTCCCGGCATTTTAGTCGCCTCTTACAACATGCATGGCTTACGGAGGAAGAATTCTGTTCCACTTCCCCAAGGAGATAAGAGGAAATAAACAAGAACAAGAACAACTAACAAGAAAATAGAAGAAAACCCAGAGTGTAGTGTGACCTAAGTGTAAGTAGAAGTAGCAAGACATACCTGAAATCTTGCATGTTTATGAGACAGTAAAAAAGACACAAGCAATCCTATCATCATGTAAAACAATTACAGTACAGGTTTCCATTTCACACTCACTTGGCAGGATGGTAGTACACCTCCCTGGGCAGTTGCTGTCTACCAACCTACTACCCTGGGCTTATCTATACTATCCAATAAAAATATTTGTACATTAAGATAATGAATGTGATACATTGACCCTTAAACCATCCAAAAGTAGATCCATGTACACTCATGTTGCGCTCCAAACGTAGATCTACATTTTATTTTTCCTGCCTCCAAATTTGGCATGATTGGCCTGAGATGCCCAGTCAGTATAGAATGGGTCTTAACACTCGGTGCATGCAGTATTATAAAAATCTGGGACCACTTAGTACCTTGTGGGAGCACCAGTTCAACTGAGCGCCAGCTAGAGCAAAGAGTGTGGTAAACACCAGGGATTCACTGACGTCATGTCCTATTAACACTCCCCTTTAAAGAGGAAAGTGATGGATGTGGCCACAAGTGGTCGAGGAAATATCAAAAACCTCGATAACAACCCATGTGTAACAGTTGTGCAACATCCTTTCATTTTTTATACTACTGGTAGTGTCATCCTGCCAGAATGTCCTATAACCTATTCCCTACGTAAAGAGAAACAATTCTGGAACGTGTAATACGTATTCAGCCGGCTGGCTGGCTGACTTTGGCTGTCACTTTGTCTGTATCTGTCTGTGTATATCTCTGTCTATCTGTCTATCTCTCTCTCTCATATGTACACATAAGTACTTACAGTTATTAAACATAGTGTAAATTACGTAAGATAACCCAAAAATTCCAAGAAAAGTGCTATACAGTGCTTGTAGATGCAAGACATAATAAGTATGACTGGCAAGTAATACGGATTGTCACTGCTGCAGCGTGTAATACCTGTTGGTTTACGAGCCACTCTCTGAGACTGAGAGACAAGCAGATGGAATGACACACACACACACACACACACACACACACACACACACACACACACACAGGCAGACAGAAAGACAGATAAGCAGAGCTAGACAGATAGATACAGACAGACAGTGTGTTACAGTGAAAACAAACAAAGCCAGGGTTCCCTGCAGCAGTGCACTATCGTTGTGTCACTTCACTGCTTACCCTGTCAGCAGTTTATTGACACTTGTCATAAACACCATGCTGCAACAAGTTTCATATATACTCCAGCATGTCTAAAACATTGTTGAGACCTATAAATACTTTCTATATACAGGTACCATCCGACTTATGATCAAGCTTGGTTCCGACAAACCAGTCGTAAGTCGAAATGGACGTAAGTCGAACCTCACTACTGAATATCAACATCACATTTTTGAAATGACTTTATTTTGTTTCATTTTTTACTTTACTTTTTATGCTGTTAGTACTGTATTTTATACTGTAAGGCTTAGGATAAACACTGTGTTGTACACAGTGTTTATACTAAACCTTACAGTTGTTTATTTCCCAGAAATCTGGCATAGAAAACACGATCGTAAGTCGAATGGTCGTATGTCGAGCAGGTCGTAAGTCGGATGGTAGGTGTATTTCTAGACAACAGTAAATTACCAAGGCAGGTGAAAATGTTCACCTGTCGGTGTGATTGTGACTATTTGAGTACTATTTCAGTACCTAATACAGTGGACCCCCGGTTAACGATATTTTTTCATTCCAGAAGTATGTTCAGGTGCCAGTACTGACTGAATTTGTTCCCATAAGGAATATTGTGAAGTAGATTAGTCCATTTCAGACCCCCAAACATACACGTACAAATGCACTTACATAAATACACTTACATAATTGGCCGCATTGGGAGGTGATCGTTATGCGGGGGTCCACTGTATTAGTGTCAGAACAAAGATTGGCTATGAAATCACAAGAACTATTATAAATTGTAATTATCAGAACATAAAAATTATATAAATTAAAATAAAAATGAGAAGAAAGGTATATCGGCAACACTTCTGCAAGCAGCAGGACTCAATGTTGCCATCAGGTGAGCATCCAGTGCCAACTTCAAGGTCTTATATCTCGGTAAGTATTGTTCCTAAAAATTTTTTTAGGTCTTATAACACACAGAAAATTGACCTCTTTAATTAATTTTTTTTTTTTTTTTCAAAATATTCGGAGTAATGTGTGACTGAACGTAGATCTACATTTCGACAGTTTAAGGGTTAAATTCATTATCAGATATATACACTGCTAAGCTTTTTACTGTTTTTATACAGAATAAGAAATCATAACTGAAATTGTAATACATAAGTTGAAAGCATTTTTCCAAAACTTGCTAACAAAAATAATGGAGGCAACTGACCATGAATTCTATGTGGAAGCATTCATAATTGGAGAAATATGCCATGAGGGTCTGGAAGCGCTGAGACTCGCAACAAACATCTTTGAAGTTGTCAAATGCATTAAGTATAATTTCATGGCCACCTTTCACTAAACAGATGGCTGCTAGGAGTTCTAAAACAAGTGCTTTGGTCCTGTAAAATATTAGAGATAAAATATATGAAAATAAGGTAGGAAGGAGGAGCAGGGGCTAGTAACCCCTTCTCCTGTATACATTACTAAAGTTAAAGAGAGAAGCTTTTGTTTTTCTTTTTGGGCCACCCTACTTCGGTGGGATATGGCCAGTTTGTTGAAAGAAGAAGGCAGGTAGTGTTGAGCATCTGTGGGAAGAAAGAAGTGTATGAATGGAGGCAAAAAGAGGAAAGTGTCAGATGAGGAGAATGGAGGTATTGAAAATGTCGTGTTTGATAGCTATGTGTGGTATGAATGTTATACAAAATTTGAGGTATAGAAATTAGTGGAAAGTGCAGAGGTACAAAATGTATTATTCAGAGGGAAAAGAAGGGTTTGTTGAGGACAGCAGAATAAAATGACTAAGAGATTGTATAAATCTAGGGTGAAATACAAATAAAAATACAAATATTTATTTCCTTGTAAAGCTTACAATGTGTGGTTTACATGTTATAAGATTTTAAATACAAAGATGGCCACTATCATGTCTAGGCACTTCGGGCAGACTAATACTAATTCTTATGATATTTTGATATAGGTCATATTTGATCAGTACAACTGAACATATTATTAGGTACTTAATTAGATACAGTGGACCCCCGCATAGCGAACGCCTTGCATAGCGAACATTCCGCATAGCGAACGCTTTGATCGCTAAAATTTTGCCCCACATAGTAGACAAAAACCCGCTCAGCGAACTTCGTCCGAGACGCGTCCAATGTGCGGCCTCAGCCAGCCTCACATGTGCCGCCTGTCCCATTGTTTACCAGCTAGCCTCCGCGGTAACATTCAAGCATACACTCGGAATATTTCGTATTATTACAGTGTTTTCGGTTCTGTTTGTTGAAAATAAGTGACCATGGGCCCCAAGAAAGCTTCTAGTGCCAACCCTGTGGTAAAAAGGGTGAGAATTAGTATGGAAATTAAGAAAGATTTTGAAGGGTTTGGGGCTAACCCTGAGAAGCCTATGCCAGTTGTGGAATCCATTGTGCCTACTTCAAAAATTAAGGAAATGTGTGCACAGTGGGTTGAACTGCAAACCTTTATGGATGAAAATCACCCTGACACAGCTGTTGCAAGGCGTGCTGGTGACTATTTCAATGACAATGTTATGGCCCATTTTAGACAAATCGTAAAGGAACGGGAGGTACAGAGCTCTATGGACAGAAAGAAGTCCAGTGACTCTGAAGCTGGTCCTAGTGGCATTAAAAGAAGAAGGGAAGTAACCCCGGAAAAGGACTTGCCTCCTCAAGTGTTAATGGAAGGGGATTCCCCTTCTAAACACTAACACTCTCTCTCCCCTCCTCCCATCCCATCAATCATCACCAGATCTTCAATAAAAGTAAGTGTCATGTAATTGTGCATGCCTTTTTCAGTTTGTGTGTACTAAAATTAACATTTTTTTGTGGTAAAAAAATTTTTTTTTCATACTTTTGGGTGTCTTGCACGGATTAATTTTATTTCCATTATTTCTTATGGGGAAAATTAATTCGCATAGCGAACATTTCGCATAACGACCAGCCCTCTTGCACGGATTAAGTTCGCTATGCGGGGGTCCACTGTACATTCTCAGTTAGGTACATACATAGTTAGGTTTAAAATAGTTAGGCAGTCAAATCATTTAACCCTTTGACTGTTTCGGCCGTATATATACGTCTTACGAGCCAGTGTTTCGGAGGTACAGTAGGGCCCCACTCATATGGCAGGTTAGGTTCCAGGCTACTGCCGTCAAGCGGAAATCGCCGTAAAGTGGAACACCCCTTTTTTCCCCTTATAAATGCACACAAATACTAGATAACAAGTTTACACTAACATATATTAAGTTAGCAATAGAACTAGGCATCAAAAAACAATAAAAAAGTAAAATACACACATAGTGCACTCATTACTTACCTTAAAATATTTGTAGTCTTAATCTAGGGTGAGACAAGTAGTATTTATTGTAAGAAATCAAGTGTGGTATGTATGGTAGCCAGCCAGACCACCCCACCTACACATACTATTCTATGATATTTAAGCATCCCAGAGTGATAAAATGCATATACAGTTCACTCATTACTTACCTTAAAATATTTGTAGCCTTCATGTAAGGTCAGAGGTGAGTAAATGAGATAAAACGAATAAATGAGAGAGAGAGAGAGAATGAGTACATGAGGGAGGACAGGCGCAGAGCTATGTAAACAAACCAGGCGAATGTAAGTTTTGTAAACAAACAAAGTGTACACATCTGGTTTGTGTACAAGTTACATTGTGTTGTCTCTACATTGATTTTTTTTTTTTCAACAAGTCGGCCGTCTCCCACCGAGGCATAGTGACCCAAAAAAGAAAGAAAATCCCCCCAAAAAAAATACTTTCATCATCATTCAACACTTTCACCACACTACACATTATCACTGTTTTTGCAGAGGTGCTCAGAATACAACAGTTTAGAAGCATATACGTATAAAGATACAAAACATATCCCTCCAAACTGGCCGATTCCCACCAAGGCAGGGTGGCCCGAAAAAGAAAAACTTTCACCATCATTCACTCCATCACTGTCTTGCCAGAAGGGTGCTTTACACTACAGTTTTTAAACTGCAACATTAACACCCCTCCTTCAGAGTGCAGGCACTGTACTTCCCATCTCCAGGACTCAAGTCCGGCCTGCCAGTTTCCCTGAATCCCTTCATAAATGTTACTTTGCTCACACTCCAACAGCACGTCAAGTATTAAAAACCATTTGTCTCCATTCACTCCTATCAAACACGCTCACGCATGCCCGCTGGAAGTCCAAGCTCCTCGCACACAAAACCTCCTTTACCCGCTCCCTCCAACCTTTCCTAGGCCGACCCCTACCCCGCGTTCCTTCCACTACAGACTGATACACTCTTGAAGTCATTCTGTTTCACTCCCTTCTCTCTACATGTCCGAACCACCTCAACAACTATTCCTCAGCCCTCTGGACAACAGTTTTGGTAATCCCAGACCTCCTCCTAACTTCCAAACTACGAATTCTCTGCATTATATTCACACAACACATTGCCCTCAGACATGACATCTCCACTGCCTCCAGCCTTCTCCTCACTGCAACATTCATCACCCATGCTTCACACCCCTATAAGAGCGTTGGTAAAACTATACCCTCATACATTCCCCTCTTTGCCTCCAAGGACAAAGTTCTTTGTCTCCACAGACTCCTAAGTGCACTGCTCACCCTTTTCCCCTCATCAATTCTATGATTCACCTCATCTTTCATAGACCCATCCCCTGACATGTCCACTCCCAAATATCTGAATACATTCACCTCCTCCATACTCTCTCCCTCCAATCTGATATCCAATCTTTCATCACCTAATCTTTTTGTTATCCTAATAACCTTACTCTTTCCTGTATTCACTTTTAATTTTCCTCTTTTGCATACCCTACCAAATTCATCCACCAACCTCTGCAACTTCTCTTCAGAATCTCCAAGAGCACAGTGTCATCAGCAAAGAGCAACTGTGACAACTCCACTTTATGTGTGATTCTTTATCTTTTAACTCCACACCTCTTGCCAAGACCCTCGCATTTACTTCTCTTACAACCCATCTATAAATATATTAAACAACCACGGTGACATCACACATCCTTGTCTAAGGCCTACTTTTACTGGGAAAATAATCTCTCTCTTTCATACATACTCTAACTTGAGCCTCACTATTCCTCGTTAAAAACTCTTCACTGCTTTCAGTAACCTACCTCTACACCATACACCTGCAACATCTGCCACATTGCCCCCCCTATCCACCCTGTCATACGCCTTTTCCAAATCCATAAATGCCACAAAGAACCTCTTTAGCCTTATCTAAATACTGTTCACTTATATGTTTCACTGTAAACACCTGGTCCACACACCCTATACCTTTCCTAAAGCCTTTCTTGTTCATCGGGCATCCTACCTGCTATTTTTACTCTTTTTTCTTTCAATAATAACTCAAACCTCCCTTTTTACCGGTATACCCCAACAGATTTAAACCCCCTTTTTTTTTTTTTGGCACTTCTTTTGCCCCCCTTTGCCTTTATACAAAGGAACTATGCAGGGCTCTCTGCCAATCCCGGGAAACCTTCCCCCTTTTCCATACATTTTTTTAAAAAAATTTTCCCCAACCACTCCAAAACTATATCCTCACCTGTTTTTAAACTTTCTATCTTTATCCCACCCAATCCTGGTTCCCTTTAAACCCCTTTCATTTTTTCCCTCTGCCTCATGAATTTCCCCCCCACCTCAAAAACTGGCTTTTCTCACTCCTAAAAGATGTTATTCCCCCTTCCCCTAACACAAATACAGCTTCCCCTATCTTTCTTCAAACTTTTAAAAATTTCCCCTAAAAAATTTCCCCTCCATTTTCCCAATACCTCTAACTTCCTTTTAAAAAACTCTCCCCCTTTTAAATTTTTAGCTGACAAATCCATTTGTTCTCAAAGGTTTCCTTAACTTGTTAATTTTCACCCCAAACTTTTTCTTTTTTTTAAAATAAAATTTTGTTGAAAACATTCCCCCATTTCTCTTTTTTGCTCTCTTTTTAAAATTGCTTCACCCCCCTTCTTAGCCTCTCTTTTTTTCCTCCATTTTACTTTTTCCCTCCTTCCCATCACTTCACTTTGAAAAAAACTTCTCATATGCTAATTTTTTTCTCCCTTACTACAATTTTTAAAAATCATCATTATTTTTTATATTTTTAAATTATTTTTTTTCCGTTTTTAAGTTGGGTTATCTTATTCAAAACTTGGGCAGTTTTAATGATGAAAAGATACTTTTTCCCGGGAACACCAAAAAATGAAAGAAACCCAGCCCATAAATGGGCGGAGTTATTTCTCACCCTTTTAGCGGCCGTTTGGGCGGTATTTTTTTTGTATGGTTTTTGGGTTATTTTTCCCCCATTTTTTCGGGTCTCATTTGATAAAATTGAAAAAATATATTACAAAAATTTAGAAATGTTTT